AAAGTAAAGATAATAAATTTTATTTATATTAAATACCAAGTTTATTATTTAATTTATTTAATATTTTAATATTTAATGGATATATGACCATAAAAAAATGGAAAAAAAATTAATTCAATAGATTGTTGTTAAGCAATATTCTTTTACAATTGTACAAGAACCAACTTTTCAAAAATTTATAAAAACTTTATTGAAAAATGTAAAATTACCTTCTTTGACTTCTATTAAAACAAATACAGTATAATGAAATTCTATCTGGTTGATCAAAAAAAAATATAGAAATTATTACAAGAAATAGAAAATTGAATTTCATTTACTCTTGATATTTGAACTTCAGTATCAATAAAAGCTTTTTTAACTATTTCTGTATATTTTATCACTAAAAATTGGAAAATGAAATCAATAACAATCAATTTTATATAAATCTGGAGTATACATTCTAATAAAAATATAAAAAAAGCATTCTTAACATGCTTGAAAAATTTTATGATTCAAACAAAGATAAGATTTGTTTTATATTTATTAATAAAAATCATTTATTATATATATATATTTATTTATTTATTAAATTAAAAGATAATGAGTATTATGACTGATAATATCAATAATAATTTAGCATTTACTACTGTAGTAGAAGAATGAAATAGAAACCAAGCTATTTTATTTATAGTTAAAACAAACCATTTTCAATATTTTGTCCATGTTATTAATTTAAGTATACAAAAAGCTTTAAAAAAAATTGCTAATAAATTAAAACAGATAATTTATAATATATATTGTATTTATAATATTTAAAACCTATTTTTTTTTATTTTTTTTAAATTATTTTTATATATAGTTTCATGAATTTGCTATAAAAATTCAATTATCATCTCAGCACCAAGAAAAATTAGAAGAAGCTTGTAAAATATTAAAAATAAAAATTTTAAATCCTATTTTATATGTAGAAACTCAATAGAATTCAATATATGAAATAGTTATATGTACTATTGAATTAAAAAAAGCAAGTTCATTTAATTTTTTAAAGTTTATGCAAGTTATTTAAAATATTTTTATTTTAGGTAATTAAATATACTGTGATTATATATCAAGAATTAAAAAAATATCAATTTAACAAAAATAATTGGAAAATATTTGAGCAAATACAAAAATTTCTTACACCATTTTAACAAATAACAACAATGGTATCAACAAAAACATATTCTACTCTTATTATGATAATTTTTTTATATAATTTATTGCTAGATCATGTAGAAAATGTTAAAGACAACAGTATATATAATATAACAGTGCAAATAGTATTAAAAAAATATGTAGAAAAACTTAAAAAATATTATAACAAAACAAATATAACTTATATAGTGGCTATAGTTCTTGATTCAAGATTTAAAATAGAATATTATAATATAAATAATTGGGTAAAGAATTGATTAATAAGAATTACGATAAGTAAGTATAATTTTTTAATTTAATTTTATTATTTATTAATTAAGTATTAAATATAGTATGTAAATTTTTAGCTTTCTAAAAGTTTTTAAAGAATACAATGAATTAAATCCATAAAAAATTATAACAAGTAAAGAAAAAGAAACAAGTGATATTATTTGTTTCAAATTATTTAAATGACAAAATATAAAAAAAAAAATAAGCTGAAATTATATCTTTCTTTATCTTGTGTAACAGAAGAAATAAATATATTAGAATGATGGAAGGTAAATGAATACTGGTTTTCAGTTTTAGCATATATGGTACATGATTATTTAGCAATACCTGCAACAAATATATCAGTAGAACAGATATTTTCGACTAGTAAAAATTTAATAACTGATACAAGAAACAGGTTATTAAATAAAACAGTTAGAGCGTACATGTGTTTAAAATCACGATGACAAGAAATTTTAGTAGACAATAGTTAAATTCTATTTTTATACTATATAATTTTATTAGTATTATATACTTATAATGATTTATTTTTTTATTAAACAATAAAAATATTTTTATTTATTATTCAAACTAACTATAACAATTTGAATTGATATTTATATACTGGTCTGAATATTCTTGATCACTCTTTAAAATAATTTCTCTATTTTTTTCACTATTTCTTTTTAACAATTCTATTAAAGCATTGTAAGTTAATAAATTTTATTTCAATTGTTTTGATTAGTATTTTACATGTTTTGTTTTTTCAGTTCCTTTTTATTATTTTTTAATAGCAATAATTGTTCTTTTTGTAAGATTTTGGGAAAAATTACAAGTTACTCTTTCAACTGGTAAAGCTGTCATACTATGTAAAATACTCTTAGATCAGCAAAATGGAGTATTGCCTAAATAATAAAATTAAATATTATTAATATAATTATTAAATATTTAAATAATAAATACAATTATCTATTATTTTCAATAATATTCTATATTCAGCTATATAAAAATTGCCTCCACTAAAATTATCTTCACAATGTATAAATATTGGATTATTTTCATGTTGTATTCCTTACATACAACAGGTAGCAATTGTATGGTTAAAGAAATTATTATTGGTGTGTGTAAATTTTACATATTTTCAAGCTGCATAAGCTTTGTACAAATCAAGAGGATAGTTAAGTTTTATTTCTTTGTCAGCCAGCTTGATAACAAATCCTTTATCGACAGGCCTATACTTGTTGCCATTGAGTCTTGGCTAGGACTCCTAACGATACCACTTCGATACCAGTTTGATACTTAAATTTATTATAAAAACATATAAATAGGTTACAATCTATATATTAAATTTACTATAGATTAGTACTATTTTGATATCAGTTTGATATCAATTTAATACTTTTTGAAGTTCTTAGCCAGAGATCTCATTCCAATGCATTATTATACTTCTTTAGTTTCTTTAAAACTCTTGTAATATAAAAAAAAAAAAATATGAAAGACTTTTAAATATTGAAAGGTAAAAAAATTATTTGTTTTTTTAATTTTAAAGAAAAATTACTATAAAAAAAAATTTTTAAAAAAAAGTAGTATACAGAAAAGTTTTATTATTTTTGTTATTTATATATATATATATTTCTTTTGTTTTTTTTTTTGTTTTTTTTTTTTATATAGTTTCTATAAAAGAAAAATAATGTAATTTGAATTTATAGTTATAATATTATAAAAATAATTTGTAGATAATAATCCAATAAATAAGCAATATATTATTTCATAAAATGTATTTAAAGGCCTTATATTATTAATGAAAAAAAATTGATTATATTAATAAAAATACAAATAAATTTAAATAATTAAATAATTAAATTTTAGTTTAAAACAATATTTCGGATCCGAACGGTTTTATTTATTTAAATTTAAAAATATTTATACTTGTTTATATTTGTTTTTTTTTTAAATATATTAGTTGACAAAAAATTCGGTATAATTGTTTATCAATTATATTTTTTAAATAAAATTATTATAAAATTACTTTTAATAATTCATTGATTATTTAATTTTAATAAAAATTAAGTTCTAATAAAATAAGATGTATTCAGGGTTGCAGCCTGTATCCAAGTATTAAGCTACGGAGATCATAATCATTGGATTTTTTATCATTATATATTTTACTTTTCTGAACACGTAGGTCGAGCAGTATATGTATGCTATGAAAGCTACCCAGATTTAGGTATTTCACGAGTACCGGGTAGTGGATATATATTGGTACGGAAGTACGTAATCGATTCTGTTATAAAATTTTTATTACTGCGGCTATCATAGCACATAAACATAAACTATGCAGTGAAGGTTAACCTTTTTTTATACGTTTGTTCAAACTTAAGCTTTAACCCATTGATCGTGCAAAGTTCCCGATAATTCTCGTCATATAGGACATGTCATTACCCTTACAAGGGCTACGGTTTCTTTAACTGAGTGTAATTTCTTAAATATAATACTATTTTTAAATTCAAGTACAGACAAAAAAATGTATAAAGGTTGGCCTTTTAGTGGTTGGGGTTTGAGTATCAACGTTCCTTCAACAATCCAGAAGAGGTTGCTTAAATTTCTACTCAAGCGCGCCTTAGGTCAATTTTTGGCTGAAGAACTTGATCTCGATAATCTTGAAGTTCAATTGGGTAAAGGGTTGGTTCATTTGAAGGAGTTACAACTCAATGTAGAGGTATTTTATTTCTAGAAATTGATAACAAATACTTTTAAATCACAATTATCCACTCTTTCGCGATTGGCGAATTTTCATTTACTATTATAATAATGTACGCTGTTTTAATTAAATATCCTCTGATGATTCGACTTTAGGTGTTAAACGATCTCGTCGCAGATTTACCGATCGTGATCACTGACGGTCGAATAGGCAGAATTGTCGCCAATATTCCGTGGAAGAACATATGGAATTGTGACTGCGTTCTAGAGTTCCACAATTTGAAAATAACCGCTGTACCTGAATATACTAAGCCCAGAAATGGTAAATCCACGTACTAGAGATATTTGAAATTTAATTTTTTATTTTAATTAATGTTTAAGTACTTTTCAGCTAAGGTCGTCCCAGAGGATTCACATATATTATCTTCATCCATTCATTTTGCGGGAGATTTTCTGCGCCATGAGATGCCGCCTGAAGAGGATGAAGAACTTCGTAATTCTATTTATCATTCTTTTACTGTATCCCAATCGGATAATGACATAGAGTCAGGGTTGGAACATTCTGACACCTTGCCGCAACAGGCGCCTATGCAGGGAGATAGTGGTATCGAGAGCATACAGGTTTTGGCGAGATTGATTGATAAACTCATGTCGAATATAAAAATTGTATTTAAAGACACATGTATTCGACTGGTTCATCATTCCAGTGTCAGTTTTAATGATAAAAATGATGCAGGGAATCTCAAAGAATACTATTTCGATCTTGAAATACCAAACGCCTCTTTTCAAGACGAGACCCGTGAATCGGATGATGAGTCCACTCCGACGAGTTCTGGAACCGAAAACGTTAAGCTAACTCCTGCACTATCTGAAACAGTAAAGTCAGTAACTATATCTGGATTAAGTGTTTGGATAAGAGAAACGTTGAATTCCACGGATCCGACCAATCTTTTGCCAAGAACTGAAGAATATATGGGGATTTCAGATAGTGAGGATTATACGCAAAAAAACGGGGAACATACTAAGAATTTACCAAGGGAGACATATGAGGCGATGATTTTATCTTGTGTTGACGAAGAAAATCTGATTCGTGTTACTTTACGCCCGAATGTTCCTTCACCAATTCAAATGGATCTTGGTAACTTTTCATCATCATATTATTATAATCAAGAAGCCATACAGCAAGCCAATATTACCCAAAATTGGACCATTGAAGGTTTAATTAAGTCGGTGACTGCAGCGTTGACTCCAAATCAGCTGGCGTTGATTGCAGATCTAGAAAATGCATTGTCAAAAAGTAAATCATCATCAGAAACAAGGCTTTCAAGTAGTACAGAAAGTGACGATGATTATGTTAGTGAAAGTACTCGGGCCAATAGTAGGATATCTGAAGGTTTAAATTATCGTCGAATGTCTCAACCATCGCAAGATGACGATTATTATCGTATGGACAATCTTGTTTTTCAAAATTCTACTTCAACTCTGCACTCAACAAATGCAGCATATTCGAACAAAACGTCATCCCGTCCCTACTATAAATCAACAATTCCCAATTCAACTCCTACGGCGAACACCCCAACTACGGCTGCGCCTTTGGGGTCAGCACCATCTTCCACTTCCACTATCAATTTTAAACTTGATGTTTCTGTGGTTGAATTATTCTTTTTGTATGATGACCCACCACCAAATCTTATGTCTGATCGTCAGTTTTTCTTTAATAAGCCAAAAGACGGCTTCAACATGGATCATCTGAAAATTGATGTCAATAAATTGATGTGTCAAATACAATGGTGGAGTCCAGATTCGTCGCCTGGGGGTCAAAGAAGAAGCAGTAGCTCATCGAGTGGTAGTTATTTACCGGGATATCAAAAAAGTACCGAGGCCGATGAGTCATTACGCGTAATAATGGATCTCACAGTTTCAGACTTGGCAATTTTAGAGTGGCTAAGGGATCCTTCAACAGACACTAAATCAAAGATAGGGCAATCAAGACCTGGATATACGCTTCCTGCGTTTAACTCATATACGCAGCTCTTAGGTTTTGACTCTCATTTGATAAATTCTTACGATCCTGATGAATCGGGTCCCCAGAATTTTTTCCCTATAATCAAAAACACGGAAAAAAGCCGTGCTAGCAGTTCTAGAAGGTTCGGTAAATTTGGCCTTAGGCGAAACTATAGTGCAAACGAGGCAGTCAAAGATGTAATCAGAATTAAATTGGAGGTTGGAAACGTTGCGAATGAAGGTACGTAATGTTATATTTACTTTTTTTACATTTCTTTATTAATTAACTTCCGTGCTTTTATCTTCTATTTAGGATTACCCAATGTTTATTCGGATGTTTCAATGGAATTTGAACCATTTTATTTACATCTTGATCTTAGAATAGTTGACCGGATAGAAAGATATATAAACATTTTTTCGATAGGTGCAGATGGTGCAGATTCGTTTTCGGAGGAAAATACAACGAAACAATGCTATAACGGGCAAGAATCCAGTCAACTAATAATTGACGACCTCGATACACAAAGATTACATGAGGTACAGCGTTATAATGATTAAACTAGATAGCATATTATTTCTAAATTTGCGTATTAATATCATTGCCTCTTGCGGGTTTTCTCCAGAACACCGCTTTGCAGAAATTTAGGCTCAGAATTAGTTGCGAGATGATTAGACTTTGGCTTCATTGTCCGGATGTAAGCGGCGAAAACACACAAAGCACAATGGACAAGTACAGCATACATTCTAGTTTGTTAATTGCAGATTTAATACACATGAATGCGGCGATTGGTTGCATATCTCAAAATGAGCCCTCACGTTCTGCAAACTTTGGCATACAACAAAGTGAAACCGATACAAATGATTTTGACCTGCAAAAAAATAGAATCAGGATTGAGTGTGGCGGGATAAATGTCTTCGTGAAGGAGTCCAATGGTAAATAACTGAAATTGCTGAGTTAACTGCGGTCTGATATATATATATATATATATTTGCACTTATTAATTTAAAAAATTCTCAGTTCCAGACGCTAAGTGTATTCTCATTGCGAAGCCGCTGGCTTCTCAGTCGCTACCCCATCGATCCATGATACACAGTGTTCCCATATTTCCAAATTGTGAAATTACTTACCGACCTACTAGTTCGATTACCAATCGGATATCATATGCTGGAGGTGGTGCTCGCCCTTCGCCATTCTCTCGAACTTTTTCTACATTTGAGGGCGAGGAACGTGCTAACTGGCCTGCGGAAAATGAAGAAGAGGAGGTCTTGATGTTTAAACAACGGACTATTGAAAGCTCGGTAAACACCATATATTTGATTTATGTCTTATTTGTTAAGACATTTTGAAATCTTCTCATCCTTAAATTTTTCACAGATGTTTGTGATACATTGCAATTTTCCTCTCGTTCGAATTCGAATGACAAAATCGTCATACGACACACTCCAAATATTGTTAAATGATTTATCGGTCTGGCAACCCAAAAGCAGTTCTATAACAAGTGAGAATTTTGGTTCGCGACCACCTCCACCCGTGAATCATGCAAATTTTGTTGGCGGCTATACGAACAAATCTCATGATACTTTTTCTGGATCGAACTTATATGACTCAGAATTGCTTAATAGTCGTGTACTTCCTTTGAGACCTAGCTTAGCTTCTATTATAATAGCGATGACCAGTGGTAATGTGATAAATCTTTTGGTAAAAAAAAATTTTTCTTTTATGACTTCATTAAATATTTCTTTTCTCTATGATCTCTTGATCCTGTTAAACCTCATACTACAGTCGAGTTTGTTATGCTACATGAGGATAAAGGAAATAGTCAGAAGCAACATGCTCGCTCATATCAACTTAATATGCTAGATTTGAGATTTTTTGCAGTTATCAAGCATGAAGGCATTGTTCGTATATTTCATTATCATTCTTTATATCTCAGTTAACTTCCTAAATATCTTAGATTTTTGCCTTTTATAGGATGATACTTACATAATTTTGGATAACGATCAATTCAATTTCTTGGAAACATCTGGTCGTGAGAAATCACAGATTTTGTGTCGCACCTTAAGCAAGAATATTAAGGTATGAAAAAATAGAATTCGGATTATATGCTTCAATGCTATTTCTTTGATTAAAGAGGAAATCTTTTTGTTATATTGTAGGCAAAAAACAATCGTCCTATGATCTCTGTAATAATGCATATTTCGCTTGATACCGATTTAAATATGAAGGAGACCAACTTGGCATTATCAGTTAACGGTGTTTCTTTAAAATATTCTCAAGATCCGCAATGGATTGATGATGTACTTGGATTTTTGCAGGAGCCGGAGATGGTAATTAACAAATTATCCCTATTTCATTTAAAAATTATCTTTTTCTTTTCCTTTTTTAAAACTTTATTTTTTCCGTTTTTAAAAATTCGATCAATACTTAGAAATCATATGTGGATCTTCCTGCTCAATTTACAAAATTATTTGTCACAATCAACGATTCTTCTATTGATTACAAGTCCGATGGATTTAACGGACGTATTGTAGCTGTGTTCGATAGTTTGAAGGTGTGCTCATTAATCAATACATTATGCAGCAATATTGTCTATAAGACCGTGTTTTTTAAATGTGTCAATCGAAAACTTGTGATTTTAGGCATCAAGCAACATAATACCCGATTCACCAATGTTCGCCGCTAAGCTTATTGTCCGAAATCTGGATTTGATGTTGATCGATGACATCAAAACCCTAAATGATCGTATAGTAAATCGATCGAACTCAACGCCATTAAGCGTTAAAAAGTATTGGAAGGTAATTAACTGTCTTTTTCGTTAAAAATCAATCCTGGACGCGTAGAGTACCTTGGATTAATATATGTAATTAAAATTATAAAGTTAGTCGGACTTGTAAAAGCAGCATCCTTAGATTTTGCCGAAATAAATCTCCGTGCTAACAAAGGAGAAATATATCCACATCTTGAGGTATTATATTTATAATTGATTTTAAGGACTGTTGTTGTTGACTTTGTAGTAATGCGAGTCGTGTTTTTCAGCTTGAACTCACCGATGAAAAGCTGACGATTGAAACTTGTGCAGATACCTTTCAGACGATTATTGGTTTAATTAATCAAATGGTTCCCAAATCTGAAAATATTGATAGCGGGACGGGGTTAGTGCAACTTTTTGTGAATGCAACGCATAGTGCTTTATGGAGTTATTTACAAATATTGTTTTCTAGTAAACGAATTCCCCATATAACAACTACCGGGAAAAACTTTGTGGGCAACGATCTTGAAGAATCAATTTATCCAGATATGTTAGGTACCCAGAGATTTATTCAGTAGTCATATTTTTATTCACCACTATTTTTTCTGAATGATTGAATTGTTATCACAGCGAGTTTAGACGAAGAGGCATTCATACGACAACGACCAGAAAAATCAAAATCAAAAACTCCGAATGTAATTCAAAATTCAAAATTGGAATTTGTAGAAGAGTTTTTTTCTCTCGAAAACGGCAAAAACGCGACACATGATTCGGACAACTATATTTTTGAACACGCCGTAATCGATGATTTTAATGATGGTATGAATAATCTATTTCATTTTTTTTAAAAAAAAAATTGTAATTGAATTGTAATCTTTTTACAAGAGGATTTTATGGTGGAGCAACAGTTATTTGCCGTACCAGCTCCCAGCGCAACACAAAAAAACCTCAAGACTTTAGATGTTATATCACGTGATGATACGATTCGCGTTCTGGATTCAGAGCCTCTTAACTTTGTTGACGATCATTTCTCGGTTCCAACCATAAGTGAGCTCAAGGAGGCCCATAAAGAGTAATGATATAATTTCCGCATAACAATTTATTCCGCGTTCTTTTGCTAATGAAATGGTCTTTTTAGGTCTGTAAAAAGTTTGACTAGAATCCGTCTACGAGATTTTAATATTGTATGGAAGCTTTATGATGGATATGATTGGGAACGCACTAGGAATGAAGTGAAAAGTTCTTTAGTTCATTCAAAATCTCAAACTTCGGTAAATTCTACAGGAACTGTAAATGAAGCAAACAGTTCGTCAGACACCGAGGCTGTTAGTCCATTCGACCGTTTATTATTCACGGGATCTCCGTTTAGAAATCCCGATTACGATGGATCATCTCAACCGGCATCCGAAAGCGATTATCTTAATGATGATCAGAGTGAAACTGCTAGTCAAGTTAGTTCGCGAGTTGATTCTGAAAGTACTAGTGTTCGAGATGGAAAACGACCCGAGCAAAGTCACCGGGACTATCCGAAGTTACGCCGTTCGAGGTCGAGTAAACTTGAGATTCAACTCAATAAGGTGAACATGGAATTTGACATGTTTCCTAAGGATAATTTGATTGCTTTTCGGTTGTTACTACTCGTTCGGGACTTGGAAATTCTCGATAACATAAAAACTTCCGCTTGGCGAAAATTCCTAACACACATGCGTCCCGACAATGACACGAGTCCTCGTGAAAGTAAATCCAACATGCTTAAGGTAGATTTGCAAAGCGTTCGACCTTTGCCGAGCGATCCCGTTGAAGAACTTCGGTTAAAGGTATCTGGTGTCATCACTGACTGTAAATTAATTGTTTTGTTTGTCTACTTTATTCTAAAAAAGATACTTCGACTTTTTTCTTCCAGGCCAAATTCTTACCTCTTAGGTTTTATATTGATCAAGACGCGCTCAATTTTATAATTAGATTCTTTGCTTATCAAGATTCCAACATTAACTCTCCTTCTGCCGAAGATGATACATACTTCCGTGAGTCATGTGCATATTATTGCTAACTTATGAAAGCACTTATTATATATTGACCTTCAAATAAATACATTTTTCAGAACATTTTGAAATACAACCAATATCAATGAAACTAGATTACAAGCCAAAACATATCGATTATACGAATCTTAAGGAAGGAAATTTTGTTGAGTTGATGAACCTTTTCCATTTAGAGGCTGCAGAAATGACGCTGAGAGGCGTAAAGTTAACAGGGGTAAAGTTATTTACCATATTACCTTTTTTAGCATGAGCAAATGTGTTAATTCACACGCTTTATGTTTGATGTAGGTCAAAGGTATACCTCGTTTGCTAGAAGATTTGGGTGCTGCGTGGCTACCACATATTAAAAGCACACAAATGCCAAACGTCGTGTCGGGTGTGACACCAATACGTTCTCTAGTTAATATTGGATCAGGCGTTGCTGATCTTATATTACTACCAATTGAGCAATATAAGAAAGACGGAAGGATCATCCGAGGTTCCTTTTTGAGCTTTTACTTATTTCTATTTTACGTTTTCAAGTAATTTAAATTCATATTATAAATTTTAAATTCTTGAAGGTCTTCAGAGGGGAACCCAGTCCTTTGCCAAAGCTACTACAATGGAAGCAATCAAATTTGGTACCAAACTTGCTGTTGGGACACAGACCTTACTTGAACATGCTGAGGAGATTCTTTCCACGAACGACGACAATGGAAACCTCTCTGCTGCAAACAATGACGAAGAGTTCGATAGTGAAGAAGATGATGATAAGGAGTTGATTAGCAAATATGCTGATCAACCTGCTGATTTAAATGAAGGTAAGCAAACTTTTCAATAAGTTGTCCTCTATGTTAATATGAATATTCAAATTGTTCTACATTAAATATTTTAGGTATCGAGGCGGCATATAAAAGTCTACGTCAAAATTTTGGCACTGCCGCACACACAATCTTTGCAGTACCAATGAAGGTATACGAAAAGACTGGAACTCAAGGAAGTGTCAAAGCTGTGATTCGCGCAGTACCTGTTGCCGTTTTAAAACCGATGATTGGAGCTTCGGAAGCTGTGTCGAAGGGATTAATGGGTTTAAGAAATACGATAGATCCAAACAAAAAGCTACAAATGGAGGATGTAGGTTACTTTTCATTCTTTTAACATTCATCAATCTATGCTTACTGAAATTTTATAACTGTACTTTATAGAAATATAAGAAGCGGTAGATGTTTTTTTAAGAGATATAACGATCACCTTGGCAATAAACTGATTCCGATCTCGAAAGAACTATGGATTTTTCTGAACATAAATAATATTCCCGAGAATTAAACCTTTACTTCACATATTTCTATGTAATCGACGTGTTGATTCTTAAACAGAACGCGATAACCTCGCAATTGAGAATCACGTATTAACATCATTTCACTCATGTATTCCAAAAATTGTTATTTTGCTTTGTCTATTTGTACATTTTATAGATTTAATTTTATTATTATTGTAATTTACGGATCTGGTTATGCGTTAATTTATTTTATTTGTTTGCGCTATCAAAATTTTTAAATCAGATGTAAAACAGATTTCTACAGATTAAATCTCCAAGTATGCATTCTTTCAACAGTAGATCAAGTAACATACACACTGGTTAATATTAATTTGACATATTTTCAGGATTTTACAGACAAATAATTTATAAAGCAGACAATTTATTAAAGAGTTGTAGGTTAAATCGTTAGCTAGAATAATCACCAGTTTGAAATTTCTTAAGATCAAACAACGAGGCACTTATACGACGACCACCAAACCATCGACCATCTAATTTTTCCTTTGCTTTTTCTGCAGCTACAAGGAAAGTATCCAATTTACCAAGAAACATGAAGCGAAAATACCAAGACGTAACAGTTTTTTTTTTTCTATTCGAAAAGAAAAAAAAAAAAAAAAACCTTACCAGAACCTTCTTCAAAATGTACGAAAATTTTAACGAGCCCTCGTTCGCCCTCAAATATCTCTTCTGAATCAATGTGAACGACAACTTTATTGACCTTACCATAATTACCACATTCTTCTTGAAACTCATCCTCAAGAGTATCATCGACTTCTGAAGGTGCAACGGCATTACGAATTACCACCACGGGAGATGACTGAATGAAAATTAGATAAGTAGCCATTAGAAGGAGGATAACTTGAAACCGGTTTATTTACCTCTGCTCGCGCCAATTTTTGCATAATAGCATAACGTTGACTGGCACTGATACTCATGTTTTCCTCTTGCGCTACGGATTCAACCGCAGCTTGACCCCTGGATGCGAGGTCAGCCGCAATTTTTGCGGCTGCATTCTGTGCTTTGGCGGCAGCAGCTATGGGAATACATGATCATTACAAATAAGATTAAAGAATTTACAACCTCAAACAAAATTTCAGAGGTTGTATAAACCTGCAGCGGTCACTGAAGGAGATGTTGAAAGAGTCTGCGGTGGGGTAGCCCCTGCAGGAAGTGGAGGCAACTTCTCGATCGCCTTCATACCTTCGCTGAGAGGTCCCCCTATCACAGCCTTACCAACATGTAAGGTTAAACCTCCTAATTCAAAGATTTTCATAGAACTGACTGCTGTGCCAGCTGATGATTCATCGTCGAATTCAATGAACCTAATTAAGAATGGGAGAATGGATAACAATGTCAGAATAATTAAGATACTAAGGCTCAAATATCGATTAGTGTTGTGGTTTTGAGGAACAAAATTAGAACTGCCACTGTTGACCGTCCAGGTGTAGTCGCCAATATCAACGAAAGTACTGGGTGTTCACAGAACGATGTTGTCGTGAATGACTCTGCAAATATATGAAATAGATACACATTCATATAGATAGCTGATGCGAATGTATGGTAGCGTGTAAATGTGTACATAAACAAATAGCCAAATATATGGCAAAAAGTGTGTGGAACGAAAATAAAAGATAGTGCATGGAGTGCATAGAGTGCATAGACGAGATTATAAAAGAAGTGAGTGCGCAATTTCCGACAACTGCCGTTTTTTTTTGTTTCGAGTAAATAGATAAATAAAAAAAATAAATAAAAAGAACAGAAGATCATGTTGAGTGCTGAATCCAAGAGAAGTGCAGGGATGTGAGTAAATCATTGATAATGATGGTGAACGTGCGAATGAAAATTTTTTCGTCGCGTGAAAATTATGATCTCCTGTCAATCTATCTAGATACGTCTTTTACCTGAATGATGGATTGAATTCCTGAACTACATAACAATTTATAATCCATTTACTTACCCATATCCTTTGTGTTTTCTCGTTATGAGGTCCGGCTGATTTTGTGGGAAATTAGTGTAAGAATAATGAAACAATGTTGTCACGAACGGATGCAAGATTAAAGCTTACCATCAGAACACAATGATTTATTTTTCCAAACGACTCGAAAATACTCATCAAGTCGTCCTCGCTTACATATTCGTTAACATTAGAAACGTATATTCGGGTTTTAGGGGGAGACAACAAACCTGCATTCACTTATTCAGTATTTTCGCGGTCATCTCAGACTTGAGGTCGTGAAATATAATGTAAAAAGAAGCGTTACTAACCAGCGGCGGTGGCTGCTGTATAGTTATTAGGACGTCCAACCTTAAGTTGCCTTGATGAAATTGTCAAATTTTCTTATTAAAAATGGTAGTTTCAAACTTACAAATTTCATTTCTGTAAAAGAGAAAATAAGGATAAAAAAAATTAAGAAAAATTATGTTTCTTATTTTAATACCTTCCACCTAACTCGGCACCATTCATTGATTCGAGGGCCAATGACGCACCTTCGGGCGTTTCAAATTCGATAAAACAGAACCCTTTATGTTTTCCGGTGTGAGGATCGAGGGACATGCTAACGCTCTTTATTGCACCAAATTGACCAAATACTACACGTAGATGTTGCTCGGTAAGTTCGAAATTGATCGAGCCAACATAAATGCGCGATAAAACAGACAAGGAACGTGGATCTATTCCCGAGGCTAGGCCAGGATTGGAAGATAGAAAAAAGGTAGGCAATGGCGGGGGAGAGCTACTCTTTCCGGCCGGGTTTAGCAACTGGGAAAAAAGATAATCGTAAAACTTAGCTTTGGGCACAGAACCCGCGGTTTATCGCAAGTTATTTATTATTACCGCTGCCTGCATTTCTCTTGCAAAAGCTTTGGCCTTTTCTAATGCGGCTTTCTGAGCCTCATTCAGGTGTAGAGCGGGATTCTGATCGAGCCACGAAGGTTTGGAAAACAGGGTTGTGGCCCCAGGTGAGGTGTAAATTGGTGTTGTCGGCTGTGCCATCGGTAAACTAGAGGAAGAGGAGGAATAGGTTGACGTTGAGTTTTTTGTCGTTGACATGGAAGTTTCAGGAGGAGAAGGCGTGGCAAATTTTGCTGGTGTCGACGGTTCCGGAGAAGTCGAATCTGTTGATGACATGGTGTTAGAAAGAGATTACGTAACGAAGCAAAGGCTTCTTGATAACTCGGATCAAGACAAAAAACGTTGCCTTCTGTTTTCTGTCGTTTAGCATTATCTTCTTCATTTTCGCGTAAACGTTTTTTGACTTCGGAAGGTGATTCTTCATTAATCGATGTGTCGGACATTGATTTTGACGCTTATAATGTCTAGGAGGAATGGAGTTTAGGAAAAAAAAATACTTTCTTTTGACCAGCCATAAATGGCAGTTGGATAATGTGCAAATCATATGATCACGCATACTGCAACGGTTTTCCATATTCAGGAAAAAAAATATAAATACAGCGTGCGGGCACGTATGTACCGTCATTGTTACCATAAGAAATTTCAGAATGCACAAATTTATTCAGAGTCGAAGTCACTACGTAAAATTTGCCGTCTTTCTTTCTTAAAATAGAAGTCATGAGCTCATCCTAATTGAATATTAATGAATTTTGCATTATTGTTAGATTTTAAATTATAAAAGTTTTATCAACGAACCCTTTAAACCTAGAGCGATTGCGGCAATTGGTCATCGACTATTTGCCACCTCAACTGGTATGTATTACTTATCTAAACAAGTCCAATTAAATTGCACGTCTAAGTTTTTCGCGTTCAAACCGATAGAGTCAGAGTATGATATAGTTGTCATCGGCGGAGGTCCGGGAGGTTACGTTGCCGCGATAAAAGCCGCCCAATTGGGATTAAAGGTATCGTGCGTACCATTAGTTATTAAGCACCAAAATACCGGAGGCATCGCTTTGACCCTTCGAAATTCGATTTTTACAGACCGCGTGTATCGAAAAACGTGGCTCTCTCGGTGGAACATGCACAAATGTTGGTTGCATTCCTTCCAAAGCCTTGTTGAATAACTCTCATATTTACCACCAAACCACTCATGATTTGAAATCAAGGGGGATTGATGGTACGTGTTGAATAGTTGCCTTTTTCGGATAGTTCTAATCGAGTGCAAACAAATTAGAATGATTTCTGAAACACTGTATGATAATGATTCTTCGTGAGATATCAGGCCCAAAGATCCGAAGGGTCGATGTATGTTTAGAAATGCTTAACGGCGACCATTGATTTCATGAGAATGGAATTTATTTCTCTTGGACGTTCTAAGAATAAACGCTGAAACTTGCTTCTTTTTTTTTTCCATCATATATGAACAATTAAGTTGAAAACGTGAAACTGAATCTGGTCAATATGATGAAGGCAAAAGACAAGGCAATTACTGGTCTCGCGAGGGGTATCGAAGGCTTATTCAAAAAGTATGGTGTGACCTACTTAAAAGGTCATGGAAAGTTTTCCGGGGCCGATAAGATTGAGATCGATGGGTTGGATGGGCAAAAGACTTCGGTTCGAGCAAAAGATATTATCATCGCCACAGGTTCTGAACCATCTCCATTTAAAGGTCTCGAGGTTTGTACTGCAAGTACTCTGAAGCACATTGGAAAAACTAGTAAATGATGGAAGCATCTTTTAGGTTGATGAAAAACAAATCGTCACTTCCACCGGTGCACTCTCATTAGAGAAAGTGCCGGAAAAAATGGTTGTCATTGGTGGCGGAATTATTGGTCTTGAATTGGGTTCTGTATGGCACCGCCTTGGTTCTGAGGTGACAGTGGTGGAATACCTTAGTTCTATAGGTGCTGGCATGGACGGAGAAACAGCGTGTGTAATAATGATATGAAATCATAATTCATTCCGTTATTTCAAGGTCCGGATCGTCCACATATTAACGACATAATCTGCATTATTTGTGTGTTTGACTGATAGTAAATCTCTCTTGAGAATACTTCAAAAGCAAGGACTCAAATTTAAACTAGACACAAAAGTTATCGATGCGTCGAAAAAGGACGGGAAAGTATCTGTAAATGTTGAACCTTCAAAAGGAGGCAATAAGGAAATTGTATGCATTCTGTCTTAATGGGAAATTCTATTTTCACTGGCCTAGCGGCGGCTAAAGAGAAAAAATTTTTTTGCACTATAAGCTGGAAGCTGATGTTGTCCTGGTTTCTATTGGCCGACGCCCATACACGGAAAATCTTGGATTAGAGAATGTGGGTATTGACGTGGATGAAAAAGGGAGAATCAAGATTGATTCTCAATTCCGTACCAGTAAACCCAACATTCGTTGCATAGGCGATGTAACGTATGGCGCGATGTTAGCCCATAAGGCCGAAGAAGAAGGTTTTTTGAGTTCATGCCATCATCAGTCATCACTTCGATCATCCTACGTTTATGTGACATTTTATTCTCTTTTCATTCAGGAGTCGCCGCGGTTGAATATATTGCGAATGGTCATGGTCACGTAAACTATGATGTAATACCATCGGTCATTTACACTCACCCAGAAGTGGCGTGGTGCGGTAAGACGGTTCGTAAACAATACAATATTATTAATTAAATATACTGCTTTGTTATTTATCTTACTGATTGTTATTTTTAAAAATAGTAAGTATTTTACATGATTTGACAAAGAAAGTTGAATTATAATTATTACATTGTCGACGATTCAATATCTTTGTAAAGTATAAATAAGTCCCGTTTTCGTATGTTTGAGCAAGATAACGTCAACAACAAAGTATTGTGGAGCACAAGAGATTAGAAAACATATGAAATTTCATCAGAAAATTGTAAGATATCGAGCATCAGAACACCTAGTGGTAATAGGTTTTATTCTGTAGCGGATGTGGAAAGGATCTTTGGAAATCAAGAAAGAATAATAAATGGGAGGAAAAAAGATCTGTTACTCAAGGGTCAGTTCAGAAAAGTAGAAAGAGGATCTCGGCAGGCAACACGAGTACTGTCGAATGGATTCTTGGCAAGAATGGTACAAATGGTACTCGGTGAACTTGCTGAGGATCTACTATCGATCGTTACAATATTCATGGCAAGGCAGATCAGCCGAGAACCGAAAAAGACGAAGAGAGACTGAAAACTCGAAAAGATACGGATGTATCTAACCCCAATGAAAAAGAAAAGCTAAGAAAGTGGATGGTAACTGCAAGCTGGACGTACAACAAGGTTCTTGAGATAGTGCATGATAATGGAATCACCGACATGAGCGTCATACGAAGGCACTGCATGAAATGATGAGTGCTTCACAACCGAAGAACTTTTCTGGGAAAAAGTGACCCCTAGGAAGTGCGTTCGTACGTGATTCAAAAATTGATGAGCACATACAAAACAAACAAGAAGTCACATGAAGTACCGATTGAAGAAGGGTCGAACACAAATTATCTCAATCCTTGCTAAGGATTGGAATAGGAACAGAGGGAAATACGCGTTCCTATCACCTCAGAACGACCACCAGATAGCAATAATACGGCTAACATAATTATGAATCATCTGGTGCATTTCTACCGTGTGTTTCTGTTCCTTTGGATATCATGGATAACCGAGATGATGTTCAGGGAAAGGCAATCTCGCTCGATCCAGATGTCCGCACGTTTGTGACCGGTTTCCGACGGTCAATTAATCGAGTGAGTGTAATGGTGATTTTGACAACATATTCAAATTATCCAGGAAATACGTCAAATTACAGAACGATAAAAATTCTGCCTTGCGAAGAACAAACAAGAAAAAAATATTTGATTGAGAAAAAAGATGCTACGAATTATACAATAAATCCGTGATTTGAGCCCGTTGGTTATTTTAGAATTACGAGATCATTCTTTTACCTAAGTTCGAATCTTCGAGGATGGTTTGAAAAACAAACGAAAGATTCAGTTGAAGACTGCTGTGCAATGCTGACTTGGTTGCATTTCAGGTTTCGGATGTTTTTACATCATAAATCGAGGGAGTTCAGAAGTTGCAAAGTCATTGAATGCACCGAAGAGTATACAAAGACGTGTGGGAATTGTGGATTTGTAAAAAATGATCTCGGTGGACCTAAAACATTCAAATGTGATTTGTGCGAGGTGAAGATGGATCGGGATGGAACGGCGCCAGGAATATCTTGCTCAAACATTTAACGCGGAGGGTCAGGTTTTGGCCTGACTTTGGGACTTGAACCTATATGGGATACGATATCCACAGTAAAGATTAACTTTATTTATTCATATTGGATTCAATTTTAAGGGAAGAAGAAGTAAAAGAAACGAAGCGTCCGTATCGTGTAGGTAACTTTCCATTCTTGGCGAATTCTCGCGCTCGCACTAATGACGATGCAGAAGGATTCGTCAAAATGATTTCTGACGAAGAGACCGATGCTATTTTGGGGGTTCACATCATTGGTCCAAATGCCGGTGAAATGATTAGTGAAGCAGTGTTGGCCATGGAGTATGGTGCGAGCAGTGAAGACATTGCAAGGACTTGTCACGCACATCCGGTAAGATTCCATTCTTATATTTTAAATTAGTTGCTCTACTACAAATAATTACTCATCCGCCTCATCGCCAGACGTTATCCGAGGCGTTGAAAGAAGCCGGTTAGTATTAAATTGTGATTTTGAATCCTCGCGCGTCTTAATTTACAATTATTAAACCTATGCACAATCTTTCTTTTTTATCAGCATTGGCCACATACTCAAAACCAATCAATTTTTAAAATACATCACGAAAAATTTTCACTTTGAATATTTTTTATTGCGTTTTATTTATTATGTAATCGAACACTGTGTGTTGATGATGCTACCCATAATGCAGAATACAATCTTACGTTAATCGTCATAACGAGATGAACGCATAATCTATATTTACATTGAATAAAAATTCTTTTTTTCTCCGATCATCACGCCACAATTCATGGAAATTGGATACATACCTTTTTGCTGAGATAAAATGAGTTGTTTATTGAATTTGGAGTTACGTGACGAACGCTTCTCTTACTGACCTCGTTGCTCCATTAGCAAATTTACGCGCTAGTCTAGAAGAGATAACGAAAACGGTTCCTACTACCAACTCCAAAAAAAGGAAAATGATCATTCTTTATATATATATATATATATATAATTGTACAAATAATTAAAAGTCTCGGAACAATTAGTCTAAGAACGAATCGATCTTGTAAATGTTGTAATATATATATATAATTTTTTTGGTTTGATTTTTTTTTTTTTTAGTTAATCTTTAAAGCCTCTTTAAGCTTCGCTTTTTATCTGCTTGTTTCTTATCCAGCTTTTTATCTCCAGAACGTTTCTTTGGCGTAACGGAAAGGTTTGAATTGTCGGAGGTCAAAGACGTCACATTCTTTTTAACGTTACCAACGGCTTCTGACTCATTTTTTGATTTTGAAACAGCAAGTGGGGTAACTAATGGAGTATAAGACGATGTAGGAGTAGTTGTGCTGGGAGACTTTGTTTGAATGGATACAATCTTTTGGGGAGGTGAAGATGTTGAAATTGTTGATGCCGCATTGGTACCAGATGTTGACGAAGGGGATGTGGTGGTAGTAACACTATTATTTGAAAATACGGCTGGCTTACATTGGGCATGTATACCCGTCATCATTCGCGCCCGCTTCGCATAGTCATCATAACTATCCAGAAGTAATTTACCCGCATCATCATTAAGAGCAGACTCAGGGTTTGGAACAATCAAAAGACACTTAATAGTCTGTAGGGAAGGATTGATCAATTGCATGCGTAAAAGTATCAATCAATGTAGTGGAGACTTGAGCGAATGCTTACCAGGAGGATGTGCTCAATACCGAATTCCTTATTCCAATCCCTTTTCAACGTATCCACGCAGACTTCACCCGATTTTGACACATTAGGATGAAATATTTTGGTAATGAAAATACCTGAAATATATGTGTCAAATTGTCGATAAATATATGCTTCTAGGGATGAATCATCAAGTTCTGCCAAGCTTACATTTCGGAGGTGCAGTCGGAAAATCTGTACCGAATATCACTTTAACTTTAAAGTAACCGCCCTCATACGGGGTGCCTTCTGTTACATATGAAGGAGAGGATATAAGAGAGGTCGTTTTAAGCACTTCTCGTTAATTTATGATCATGTCAAAAATGCTATAAAACAAATGTTTACCGGGACCCGATATCCAAGCTTGAACGTCACAAACATTAAGTTCATTCATCAGAACCCTGATCCCCTCTGGAGGTTGTGCTTTAAGATTTCCCAACTCCTTCGTAATTCTTCTTATTACGGGCGGTGAAATGTTTTCGGTGGCCTACAAGTATCAAGTTAGACATATTAAAACGGTAAGTACAAGAAAAGAACGAAGTTCAGCCTTAAAGTGTGAACACAAGAAACCTCTACCATTTTCGAAAAGATTTTAATTGTTTATCGAACGTCAAATTTTCCGACGGTTGTGGTGAGTTTTATAGTTTTCGATAAACTTCATAACTTTATTTGTTACACAAATTATCATCACGTGCATAATTTAGATCTGCTGCTGCTACAATTAGTTGATAGCATGTAATATAATAAGGTTTTAAAACTGGGTGACAACTTTGAATAAAACACCTTTTTGATTCAGCGTCAGATCGTATTCAGTTGTAACTCAAGATCTAATGCAATTATGCAAGTACTTATTTATTCTTTTACCCCCGTATGTACCATAATTTACGTAGTACGTAGCGTATGTCTTTAGCAGTTTCTCACGAACTCGTGAGCATTTTAAAATATGTACGCCTAACCTAATCTTTAGATTCTTCTCGATCTTCCTGCATCATTTACTGTATATTTGTTCTTCGTTCATCCTATGCCTATATTTTCATAATTGTAATTTTAAAAGGAACATCAATTCTTTAATGACGTTATTTTCATGTAAATAACTTAAAGAATCTAAAATTGTTCAAATGAAATTTGGGCTCTTTCGTATGGAATCGTTAAATCGCATTTAGATATTTCCAAATAATTCATTGTTTGATATGTCTTCTAAATCGGATAATCCGACTCTCGCCTGGTATCTAGTCAACTCATCTTTGTCGACTTCCTCAATGTATCTTAACGTTCGCCAACTTCGTTCCAGTAAGTAATTTGGAATCAGATGGATCGTTTGTGAACGTGACGATAAACCACGAAATAACGAAATGAGTAATACTGTAGATGCTACACACATGCACGCAAAAAGAAAAAGAAAAGTTGTTAGCAGTTTTCTCGTGTGGCACAATCATAATGCGTAAATAAAACTGGTGATCACCTCTTCGAATTTCAGCCTCGCTTTGGATATCTAATATATTTAAGACCCAATCCACCACATCTCTAAACCACGAAGTCAAGGCCAACGGAGATGTCTCACACGCACACCCGATAATGCTCAGTGCCGAGATACGTAATGTAGAATTTTCATCTTTATTTAGAACGTGCAGGAGTGGTGGTAAAAGTGTAACGACTTATTGTGCAATAATTTATAAAATTGATTAACGAAAGTCCTCCCTAAAAAAAAACGCAAAAAGAACAGTCTCAATAATAGTGAGAGAGCCTACTGTATTTCCCAAGTACATCGCCACATCTTTGAACGGTTTGTAAAATAGCTTCCCCTACGCGCAATCGATTATCCAAATTTTGACTGAAATCTGAATAGATTTTCATCAATTTTCTTATAATCCGCTCGCCATGAACATCGGTCAACGATGACAATCCCTTGATAGCGTTGAAATAGATAAAGCTATTTCATGCATGCAGGAGAAAGATGTTACCAGATGCGTCCTCTATTATAACATCTTTAGGAAATTAGTAAGTACCTTTCGTCATCCTGAACCATCTGAATGAATAGGTCAAAAACCCTATCCAAATTCTCCCCTTCATCCATCACCACATCCTTTTCAAGGATCATCTCTTTAAGCATCGTAATCCCACGCGCTTTTATAGGGAGAATTTCGTCTTGCAATGCATCCATGGCTTCTTGGAATCTCTTTAAACTTTCTTCTCTGCGTTGTGATTCTTGCGAATTTTGCGATGAGGATGAGGAGGATTGAGATGCTGCCTCACGCGCAGATATCGTTAGCCTCAGTCCTCGTGACAGAGAACAAATTGAGGATTTGTGATGGAACTGAAGTGGAACCAGATTATTTGAGACCAGATTTAAAATATGTGAATCTTTTACCGATAGGGATTTGTGCTCTTGATTTCAAAAAATTCCAGTTACATGACGTAATGGGACAAGGTCATGGTGTAAAATAAAATCCAAACACGTACCTGCCAACAACGATGTCAGAAGCGATAAGGCCAGGGACAATATTTCATCATCCTCATTATCTTCTTCATTCGAATTCTCCTCGTCATCCTTGACTATATTGTTCAATTCACTCAGCATCCTAAATCCCCCTTTCATTCCCATATTTTCATGACCCTTCTGATTGTCCCTTTTAAGGTTATACTCCTCCAACACATTATTTACAAATGCAATCATTTGTCCAGGTTTTTGTAAGATGGTTGATCCAAGATTATCAATCATTGACATAATTATGTGAAGTAATGTGAGAATGCTAGAAGTGTAAAAAAGTTGTCTCATTTTAACAGAAAATCACAGAGTTGAAAATAAGTTGTATCATTTAAAGCTCACCGTCTGGGATTAGGCTCTTGCAGTTGAAGGGAGAGTGATGAAGTGTATTCCGTGAGAAGGTACATGAAGAGGTCACCAGACAATTCGTTCTTTGATATGGATTTCACGAAATCAATAAATACATTAACATCTAGTGTCGTTGTGGTGACCGACGTATTGATTGCAGCCCTAGAAAGGGATTGCACACATTAATTAAGCACGAGTCTCCATTGGTTAATCTCTTCAGAATATCCGCGTAATAAAACTTTTGACATACATCCGTAATCTCATAACGACACCTCCTGAAGGCCCAGGGGCAAAATAGATCTCTCCAATCTCCCCCAATTTAGGAGCAATCAACCTTTTATTTCTCCTAAATACTATTTCCTTGAATGTCTCAACGCCCTCACTGACCGACACAATTTTAAAGTAAGTCAACAGAATGTCCATCACAATGTCTTTCAAGAAAGATTTTGAATGGCATGTGAATGAATACAAATAATATAATGGTGCAACAGAATCCTCTAAGAAAAATTGTAATAAATCAGGTATTGGTTCACTTCCAACTAATATATGATGTACCACAGAAATGGTAGATTGCAATGTTTGTTCATCCATTATCAATGGATCAAGGTCTGTGGTAAAATCATGATTCAGCAATAGTTGATTTTTTCTCTTCATATTTATACCCCACCATGCCCACATTGTACCAAATACCTTGGTGACTATGAATTTCTTTGTGATTGTGGGAAACTTGCTAAACATTCTTGCAATTATCAATGATGCAACATTTACAATTGGCAAAAATATCAGTTTTGTGTCGGAATTGCGAGATAGTGTTGAAGATGACTGAACTATGGACAGCAATTGCGGGCATATTATGGAAAAATATGCCTTTTTGATTTGTGTTTTTTTGATGCAGAGTATATTACATATACATGTGTGTTTGTATGTTAATGAAAAGCAATTGTGAATTTTTGCATCCAAGAAAAACTTTCAATAATTAAATCATACCTCCAAAGATTTCACTGTATTCGGAACAGAAAGTATTAATTGAGATATGGCTTCCACCTTGGATAAACTTGCTAAAAACAGAAATGATTAAACCAAGGAGACCTCAAAAAGCCATAACACGTACAAATTCATCACCATTATTTATTACCTTCACTCTCTCCTCCGATCATAAATTCAATAACACTTTTTACACCATTTTGCCTCAATAAAATTCGGGTCAAATATCTACCGCAGACATTTTTCAACCATTTAGGTGACTGATGTAATGGAGATGATGATAAAAGTGTGGTCAAAGCTTCTAAGGACTGAAAAGAATCCGATCTGAAGAGCAACTCAAATTATCACTATATTGCAATGGATGAAACAAGAATGAGCTACTACTATTTGGGTCGTCACCTTTCGAAAATTTCCCGAAACAGTGATATGCACTCTTTGCGCATTTGCTCTAGTTCAGGGTCTCCGGGTTTCTTATCATCAACCATTGCATTCACTCCATCGTTTTCTTCATTCAATACTGTTATTAACTGTTGCCTCGCCTTGCGCCGTTCCAACCCTTGTCCATCATTTGATAAAATTGGTCCATAGGCCAATTGCAACAACGCAGCATAAACATCCGTGATGTGTTTTCTATATATGATGGACGACACTGTGGTGATTGGAGTTAATCTGCTTGGCGAAAAAAGCATAACGTTTGTCAACGATTTTAATATGCTGAATAGATATTTTGACTTTGACCGTGAATCTCCGAATGTTGTATTTCCTTCGTTGTTTGCCACTTTTTCCAAAAAATCTGTGACAATATTATCGACAGTTAGTCATCAGTTCTCTCTTTTCTGTTATTTCAAAGCCCTGTGGGCATTGAACAGAGAATTTTTAATGTTTCATGTACCATTCTGAATGTATCCAGATCGAATCCTACGTGAAATCGGAATCCCGACTCCTGGAAGAAGGCACGGGTATATACCCCAACTTATTATGATCTCTAGCATCGTATGAACAAGCCTTAGATCTCTTACACCTAAAACATCCGGTTCTTGTAATTTATTATTCCCGACCAACGTCTGATCTTTATACATATACATATTATATATATATGCATTGGTCATTTTCATGACTAAGGATTCGTTGTTATGAAGAACAAAGAAAATGAAACTTTGGTAAAATACTTTTAATATCATTGATGCTCCTTAAGGTTGATTCCAGAGCTTCCAGAATTTCCAAACATTTTGCGACAAAAGTTTCTCTTATGGTTTTATTTTTATTCAACTCCTCTGATTGTTGATTCCCTTCATCAGAAATCTGATTTAATCTCGAGCTCAACCTTTCTTGCAATGACTCAGCTTTATTTGAAATAGGAAAAGGAACAGGGCGTTGATATTAAAAATTGACTCGAACATCATTCAATTTGAAGAAACATCTAATCATCCCTTATATTGAAATATTACCCTGTTGACTTTCTTCATCGGCCGGACCAACCAACACGTAAGCTTTATGTAACAAGCCAAGTAGCTTATGGTCAAGGTCTTTTAACGAGTGTTCTGATAACGTAGTTGATGACATAATGCGAATGACATGATTTTTTGCTGATCACTAGCATAAACAAACTTTTAAGGTCAACGTCATGTGATTAATTTATCTAATCGGGTCGGAATTTTTAATGCATTCAAAAAGAGACCAAACAATGCAATTTGTAAGTTTTGAATTGACGTAATCTCAAGTCATTGTGATAGTCTCCTATAATATAATATCAGAATTTCTAAATGACCTGGTAATAACTTCGTTTTGTTATGCGAAACATGGAAACCCTAGAATCTTGTCGGTGATCCTCTACGATTATTGTTTTGAAAGTTTACACGGAACGAACCTGGCTTTCTCAACTTCCTATTATATTAATAAACTAGTCAAACGAAAACACATTAATCAAAACCGAGCCATAATAAAGTATGCGTTATATTGTGATCTTTAGCCATGTGATTGGGTTTTTAAAGTCGCAACGTGACAACCGTATAAATACGTGTACCAAAAATTTGAAAAAATTTTCAGGTCAAATACATTATATGCACTACAACTTCGTAAAGCTGAAGTCGAGATTTCAAGGCTTTCGGTTGAAAATATAGAATTAAGAACTACGATAGCGAGACTAACCGAAAAAATTAAAAAATTAAAAAGCGACAGAAATGCAAAAAACGATAAATTTAAAGACAGCGTCAAGGTAGAAGGATCATCCATGATTCTTTATGATAAATATTAAAGATACTGGTTTTAATGAACATTCATTTTTCTTAACAGTCTACCAGTGGACAATTGACCGAAATAATCCAACTACTTCGTGGGACTGCCGATTCCTTGAATGCACTTATGGATTTGGATCGTAGCAGGAATTCGATGCACTCAAGTTTTCATTCAGATGGCGAGTAATATCCATTATGACTGTAGAATTTACGTGTTTCCACGTTCCACTAACTTAAATCCATTATCTTCATTAAAAAAAAAAGACTCAACACTAGATCAACTGGAAACAAATATTTGTGCTGAAAATGAAGGTTACCAATATGCTTCAAAAATTACACCAGAGATCGATATTGCATTAGAAAAACTTCCGGAAAAACGAAAAACACTTAATTTGGTCTAACTCTCTAATTTTAGCTCCTATTTACTGTATGAATGCAATGTTTTAACCGTAACAAATATATACAATAGCTTGCTGTTTATCGAGAAAAGCCTAAATTACTGCAGACGATAAATGAAGTGAACGAGGAACACGATGAACACCATTCTAAAAAGAATGCACATGAAGGGGAGAAAGACTGGTCAACACCTCTCGACGCAAAGTCCTTGTATTTACTTCAAACATATAAATCTCGAATTCCCGTTAAAAATTCAACAAAAAGATCGCTTCCAACATCACCAGTAAAACCAGAACTTCAACAAACAAGTAAACCGTCCAAGGATCTTTCCCCGATATCGACACCTAATATAGATAATGATGATGGTAATGAAGAAATGTCCACACTGTCGAAATCCGATGTTGACTCTAAACAAGGTGCAGGTAATTCGCATTCAGGTTAATCTTTGCCATTTTAGGTTACGCGTTCCCAACAATAAAATATTATGTCCCAAAGATGTTACATACATGACGAGGAAAAGCTTACGAATAAAAAGTGATGTGAGTTATGTTGAACCAAGTCTTCGAAGGTAAATATTCATAATGCAAAATGCCATTATAGATTTGTTATTGAATAACGCCAAAACATCATCAAAACAGTAAACTACGTCAAGGGGATCCGTTCACATATTCATTAGAAGAAGCAAAGTACTCTAGTCCATCAAAAACTCCAAAGCAAAAGAGGCGTAGAAAAACTACAAATATCAAGTGCAATAACGAAACACCTGATACTCAATAGATAATCATTCGCGAATGGTGAAGTAAATTTCAAATTACTTTAAATTATTTTCTGGACGCTCTTTCGTCCATTTCAGTTATTAATAATTTAATTTTGGTTTAAACAATACGACAAGAAGAAAAACTTTGCCGAACTAAATTAATGTGGTTTATTTAATAATGATAGTAACACCTTTGATGCAAATATAATATAAAAAAAAAAAAAAAATACCGTTATTACCGACATTTTAAATAGAACAGGGAAAATAAAAAAATTTTTAATTAAAAATCCTTTGATCTTTTGTCCATTAAATTACATATTTTTGTATTCATTTTATTGATTCCAAAACAGATATTCCAAATAATACAAATTGTCATTTATTGAAAGATTAATCCAATAAACTATATATTAAAAAAATATAAAACTTTTATACAGTATATTTAAAAAATATGGATAATTAAATAAATTATATATGGATAATATACGTATATTTCTTTATCTATTTAATGTATTGATAAGATATGAATTTTTTTTCTCTTTTTGTTAAAAAAATGTAATTTTTATTATTATTTAAATTTATATTTTCTAAAAAACCAATTGAAAATTCTTTAAATCAATTATAAACAAATATTTATTTATAACTGTTATTAATATAATATTAAAATTATTTATTTTAACTTGATGTTATTCAATATTTTATCATTACTTATTTCATCAATATTATTATAATTTTCATTATTATTATTTTTTTAAAAAAAATAAAATTGTTCTTATGTTTTTATTTTTTATTTTTTATTTTTTTTTTAAAATGCTAGCTGAACCTTGCTTAGCAAACATTTATTAATATTAATATATATATATATATTTTATATATAAACTATATTATAATATTAATTGATCTTTATATATTCTAAACTATAAGGATTTTTTTAGATATTGGATATTGTTATAAACTTGTTCTATTGAATAGAAATTGAAACCAATATATTAAAATCCCATTCATTATTATATTACTAATATAATTTTACTATTTTATTTTTTAATTAAGATAAAATTAAAAAAAATTGAAAAAATATACTGGAAATAATATTTTATTGTAACAAATAAAGTAACTATAGAAATTCTACTTGCTTCTATTAAAGATTATTTCCTTTTCTATTACTTGCAACTAAATTAACTATTTAATTTCTTATTAATCTAAATATTATTCAAAATATTCAAGATAGACTTATAACTGGTTCTTACTATCTAAACAGTTTTGTTTTTTATAATTGTTAAATTAATCTTACTGCCAAATATCTTCTTAAAATAAGTATTATTAAATTAGTTTATTATTGAATTGAAATAAAACTTAAATAAATTCTTTACTAGGAAGTGTAAAGTAGTAAGTTTTACAATATCCGATATATGTGTTATGAGATAAAGTAATAAAAGACCCTAGTGATAGTCAAACAGGCAAAAAAAAAACAAAAACAAAAAAGCTCTCTATAGTCCATGTTCAAGTATAAATCCACTTTTATGGTATTAAGTTGATACTTGAGTTAGAATAAGGGCAATGTATCAGTTAAATTAGACTATTCATATAATAATTATTTATTATCTTCGATCTATAATAAAATCATCGCATGTATTATACTTTAGCCTTTAAAAAAAAAAAAAGACTTAAATAAATTCTATAAGAAATAACATGGGTAATTATCAAATCTACTAGTCAAAAACAAGTTTGGAAGTTTTACTTATCCTTCAATTGTATGAAAAAAGTTCTGTGACTGTTTTTTTTTCTTTTATTCTTTTGTATTCCTTTTTCTTTTTATTATATTACAAAAATTATTCACATCAATATTATTACACTTGCTGAATCAAATACTTTTCCAAAAATATATTTAAATAAAATTGTTGGGTTTATTGTTTATTTTAATATAATCTTTATACATAATTTTACCATAATATTATTTACTGTACCATTTCAAAATTTCAAAATAATTTTTTTTAAAAAACTGAAATAAGTTTACTCTCTTTAAATAATTATTGCTCTCTAATTATCCAATCAAATTTTATTAAAACAATAAAAAAAAAAACCAAATCTATTTAAATTGATTTTTCAATACAACAACAATAATAATAACTATTATAATAACAAATAATATTAATTATACTTTATTATTCATATTAATAAGAATTATGTCTCTAAGATCAGTACTAATATAAGAACCAGACAATTGGCCACCTTTTAGATTTTTTTTTATTTATATAGATCTTATAATTTAAGTGATCCAGTTTTAATTTCAATAGCCAATGTTATTGTAGCTCTGGTTTATTTTTCTTTTCAATTTTTTTCAATTATTTTTTTTATATTTAATCAAAAAACTTTAAGTAAATAAGTATAGCTACTCTTAGCTATATTTAGTATATACAATATTATTTTAAATTTTTTTCAATATTAGTTAAATATAAATATATAGGCAAGTTGACATTTAACTTGTTATATATTTTGTATCCAAGAAATATTGTTTCTTTTACTAGTATATCTAACTTTAAATATAATATTATAAATAAAAAAATGTTGTTTACTTTTTTGAAAAAAAAAAAAACAATATATATACAATAGTAATCACAAACTCTTTCTGTTGATTTATTTACCAATTCAAAAAACAGATGTTCTCAAAAGATTTTATATCTTTCTGATAATAAAGTCTATACATTTTCCTTAACAATACTGGTTCTCTAACCAATAGAGTAAGCAGCAACTACTACTTGTTTTCCTTTTCTTTTTCAAATACTTTCTTGCATATTTTTGCAACTAAATACAAGAAACATATTCAAAAGATTTATGGCAAGAACACCTTTCTAGAAAGAAAACTGACAAGAAAAAGTACTACCCAAAGAGCTCCAGAAGGTTCAAAAGCCTAAATAAATAAAGAAAAAGAATCATTTAGCCTTTATATTATCTCTTTAGCTTTTCACTTCTTTTTTCTTAAGTGTGTCTCCTTTTTTCTAGTTTTTCTAAGAAATTTTGCCTATCTCAGTTTAATCTTGAATTTTTGATTACACTGGACTTTTCTGCAAGATGATTGGTCAAAGTTACGAATTGGTTGATCATGTCAACTATAGAAAAAGTAAACAAAACACATCCTCCCATATGTTTCAAGTTGCATAACACCAATTTGATGATATGATTAGTTCCGGAAAGAGTTGAATGGTTTTTTAGTTAAAGGAGTAGTAAGGAAGTTCCAGGTGAAGTTTGAAATTGTAAGTAAAGGAGGAACAATCTTTTTTTTGTTTTTCATTTTTATTTGTCCCTTTCTTTTTCTATTATACCTAAAGGACTGGAAGTAAACATAAGATTCAAATCCTATCCCAATCAGGCAACAAGTTGAAGCAATGATGTCTATTTTGAAAATGGTTGAAGAAAGAAATCTTGAAATTATCCACTGGTTGAGTGAAGCAATAATTTTAGAAAGACATGACTTGGAAGAAAAATTAACAATAGAAAATCAAAATCCTTTCTGGCCAAAAGTCTTCAAGTGTTAAGTTTCAAGAAATACTTTTTAGGAAATACTCTTAAATGTTCTTGGATATCACCTGCTTCAATAGAAATTAAACAGTTTAACTGACTACAGGTAATAACAAATAAGTATTCATAAAGGGTCTGGATTTTGTCTACTGAGATACTATTTCAATAATAGATAGAATAGATGATAGCTTTTATTCTCTTTTTATATTATTTTATTTGTATACATTTGTATTGTTTTTTCTATCCTTATTCTTTTTTTTGTTTTTTTGTCTCTTGTATGATTTTTATAAAAAGGGGATAACACAATTTGAATTTATAGTCATGACTGTAGAAGTAATTTGTAGGTTGTAATTCTTATGATATAACTGAATCTTAATTCTAACTATACATGTGGCATAAATTATTTTGCTGTTGACTCAATTCCCAAAATTCTCAAAAATAATTGCATTATGACTTAATTATTTATATGTTTTAATAGTGACTCAAATAATTGCATCAAATAATTGCATCAATTGCATCAAGGATCTATGAATTTTAGTAATATGTATAATTTTAACTATCAGACTAGCAATGTATCACTTCTATAAATCGTATTTAGAGGCTTAGGCTTAAGACAGGTGAGTTGGATCAAGGAAATTTGTACTTTATATGTATTTTTATGCATGTAATGGTTTTTTATGATTTAATAAATATATATCAGTTTGATTGCAAGTTAAAAAAAAAAAAAAAAAAAAAAGCTCTTTCCCACTTTCTCTTCTATACTTGAGAATTTTTTTTTTTGGAAAATTTTTAAGTCATTTTTTTTTCTTTTTTCTTAATATTATTTTCTTTTCCTAATATTATTTTCTTTTCTTTTTTTTTTTTTTTACAAATTTTTTTTAATATATATCTCCTTTTTTTTTTTTTCTCTTTATTTATCAAAGTTAGGTTTTTTTTCTTCTCTCTGAAGTTTTTTTTCTCTAGATCTCTCTTTTTCTTAAAACTGTTACTCTCTATCTTATCATTTTTCTGGCTAGTTGATTTTTTTCTCTCAAGAACCATATTAAAAGATAATAACTTTTCTTATATTGTGAATCTTAGGAAATTTTTTACTTTCAAGATTTTTTAAAAAAAGAATGAATGTTTACTCCTTTTAAAAGATCAGTATAATTATCATTACCATATTTAGTATTGTTTACTTGTTGATAATTAGATTAGATATATCTAAGAAGCTACTATACAACTATTGTTATCTGAATTTCCAAAAAGTTGTATTTTATTATATCTAATTATATAGTAACCAATGCTAATGTAAAATTCTATAAATAATATGCTGATATCTGAAATATCTAATAAAATAATATGTGACAACTTGAAATTCTGGTTATTTTTATAAACAGAGTTAATATCAATAACAGAAGTTCTTTATTTATTTCTTAATAATATAGATTTATATACATGATTAGATAACAATATCATTAAGAAATTCTAACTCAATTTTATTTATTGAACATTCCTGCTATACTTAGAAAATAGATATATCAAACTTTTTATATGACTTGAAGACCAACCTATAAAAAGTGACTATAGTGTCTTCATATATAAAAAATTAACTCTCTTCTCTTTTACTTCATTTGCTATATATCAAGTCAATTTTGAAAAGCAAACATATCAAATTTCATTTATAATTTGAAAGTAAATCTATATATTTTACTGCAATATTTTCATGTGATTGGATATATAAATCTTTTAATTTTCTATTAGATATTACCTGAGATATATAGATTTTGAAAATCCTTTTGCTATTGTTTAAATAGTTATTGGAAAAAAATAATTAGAATAGGTGAGTTCTGCATTAAACTCTTTTTAGCAAAAAGAAATATATATTGTTAGTAATAAGTAATTCCTTTTAAATAAAGTTTTAATTAATAACTGTTCTAGTTTAAAAAAAAAAATAGTTACTTAATTAATTATACTAAATAATTATATTAAATCTATAAATTTTAATTATATATATAATTATAAATATAATTTTAGTAGTTTTAATTAAAATATTAATAGTTTATAGATTTTTTTATTTAAAAATTAATAAATTTCAATAATTATATAAATATTTTTTATCTTAAATTTTTTTAAATCACTTTTAAAAATCCTTTTATATTTATTAATTATATATATTTTATTTTATGTTTAATAAATTATTAATATTTTTATAAGATCTTTATATTGCTGATATAAAATTTGACAAGTTTGTCACTTAGACTTATTTTATATTATATAATAATAAGATATATTTTTTATTTAAAAACGATTTATATTTATTAGTGACTTAATAAATTATATTAAATAATTGTATTAATTGTATTAAAGATTTACAAATTTCAATAATATGTATATTATAGTTATACTAATTTGAAATATATAATTGTATAATAAATTGGTTATTTATATTTTATTAAAGACAAAATAAATATTAAAATATATCAAAATATTCTTGATAAATATTTTTTAATTTATTAACAATTTAAAATATATAGTAAATTATATGATTAAATAATTTCAAGATATAAAGATAAAATTTTAAATTGACTTTTATAATCTTTTAACTTAAATCTCTTAAAAAAAAATTATTTAATTATTTCAAAAATTTTATTAATATAATTGAAAATAAATAAAATAAAATTCCTATTGAAAAATGTGTAAAATTAATTGAGAGTAAGTTATAAATAATTGTAACAATAATTAAAGCAAAGAAAAAATATTGATAGATTTTATATTAAAAAAATAAAAATATATATATAGTATAATTGCTTATTTTAAATATTATTTGTACAAAAATAATAAAAGTATTAAAACAATTTTTTTAAAATCAAAATTACGGATCATGTGATTACGAATCGAGATCAATTAAAAAAAAAATTGTTTCACAACAATCGGTCTCTTTAGAAGTCTAAGGTATGCATTATGAATTAAATTTCGTGTTTTCCCAACTATGATGAAAGAGGATAATTATAGTGATCAAGAGTCACTAGATGATTCGAATTATTAAAATAGCAATTGTTCCTACTGAATTATTTAATTTTCATGTATTTTGCAACGTGACCGCATTGATAAAATTTTGATACTAATAAATATTCTACGGTCCGATGAATAGGTTTGAAGTATCGCCTTCACAGAAAGAAATAAGCCTTGACTATCCCATTTACACCTTCATATTGACGATAAGCTAGTCGAGTTAATGGTTTTATATTTAAAAAAAAAATTTTTTTTTATTCTCTTTTCGCGTTTATTCATTTTATGTGAATATAGTCAGGTAGAGTTGGATAATATTATCATTAAACGCATATTACCCCTAATTTTTAACGCATACCAAAAGTAGCACAGTTAAAAAATTAAAAGATCATAAATAAATAATTTTTTTATGTATGAGGTGAAACATAACCTGGAATATTCGATTGAAATTACCTGAGAAATGCACAAGAAAGCTATTCAATGAGAATAATTAAAAAAGGATTCTTTTTTTGAAATGTTGATTTCATAAATAAGAAAAGAAAAATAACTACCAAAAAATCAATTTATTACAATTAACAGAAAAGCAAGACTTTGCGTAATGTTGAATGTCACACGTGCAGCGCTATGTATAATGAAACCATAGCTACGTTCAGGGTTATTCTATTGTTGCCTTGGTTGCAAGCTCTTGACCAATCTTATAATTTAGGACCTAAATAAAACAAAAGTTTTCAACTTAGACAGGTCGAAATTAAATTAAGGATAAAATCACAATCCCTCTCTAACCTTGTCCCAATCAATTTTGTGACGCGTTAACGGGAGAGCTCGCCTCAATCCCTTGAACGTATTTTCCGATAGGTCAAGATATGATTCATTCAACGCACTTTGGTAATCTTCCTCGGCCTTGTTAATTGATTTGACATATGCTGCAGCCCGTTCGGCTGGATCCTTAAGATATCAACAGATATTTAACGGACTGAAGTAACAATAAAATAAATTTATTACAATTTACCTCGGAACTTGCAGAAGCCGTAATCTCGATTTCTTTGGAAGAATTTAACTGCACATTTCCATCTTCGTAATAATGGACGTTTACTTTGATAGTCCCTTTTAGTTCATCTGAATCAGGAGAAATTACCCAAGTTGAACGCCATTTACCATTCCTACATGTCAAAAAATTCATATTATAATGGATGTTAAAAATCGCTTATTGTAAATGCGAGTGAAATCAATCACTCACCATAAGTTTTGTGGATTGAATTTATCATCCACTATAGCAACCGTATAAGTTCCATCAGTATAATATACTGTTGAAACGCCATCAGGATAATGATCTGTAATGTAATCGGAAATTGCGGTTTCAATCGTAGATCTATTAAATTCCAATAAAAAAAAATTTAGGATCGGAAAGGAACAAAAGCCTTAAAGTACAACCAATCTACCTTAAATGTTCCGTCGTCTCATCTACAGTATATGGCTGAACATCAGTTACGGTCTAAAAACATAAGCGATTAGAATGTTTAAACGAATAGTTAAACATGAACAAAAATTAATAAAAAGGACGTACGTGAAGCAAATGGTCAAACTTGAAGGTTTGCTGCGACTTTGGATCCAAATATAAATCTTCTTCGATTTGTCCAAATTTGGATACTATCACCTAAAGAAAAGAGAATCAAAACGCGAGTTCGACATCGACTTAGCTCGATCAAGGAAAGTACCTTGGTTTCTTGTCCAGGGAGGGTCGCAGTTACATATTGCTCAGTATTGTATTGTCGTAAAGCCTGCTTGATTCCTCTATCGAATTCTTCATCATCTCCCATTAAAATTCTGATATCTTCAAATAAGTAATCATTTAAGATTTAAGTCCAACCAAAAAGTGACGTTTACACAATTCTACTTCGGTTCCATACCCATATGCTGAGGAGCTACTGAATGTTAACATACCATTATAAACATCATTAATTTCTCCAGGAGGACTTTCAAGCAAGAAGCCAGAGACAATTTTAAGTTTTTCTTCAACGTTCAACTCATCCATATTTAACTGGCGTGAAGGATGAACAGCTGATATTTATAGGCAATTTTTTTTATTACTGAATTGTATATGCTGTGTTACGTAAAAAATAAACAATCGTATTTCGTAATTTGTCACTAAACTATCAATTGAAATTTTTTAACTCCAACTATTCGCACTTCTTTAACTTGTAAGTATTTTTCATTTTTACGCATTTCTATCAACTAAACCAGGTCATTGTCACCGGAACTTGGATTTTTTGAACACAGAAAGTTTAACAATAATGGCTGGTGGAACTGCTTACTACGTGATTGCAGGTCGCAAAATAGGATCTGAATATGTAATTATGAAAGCTTTACTATTGTATTAGTTTGCGGAAAGATGTTAACGTTGAACTTGTTGCCATCAATTAAATCACAGCTTGCGCTTGCAACCTTTTCAACACTCGGTCTCGGAATTTTTGCTGCAAGAAAATGGCAAGCCAGAAAATCCAGTCCTCTAACTACTCCACCCATCAATTCCTCCTCGCCAGAGGAGGAGGCCTTTATTCAGGAATTCATAAAGATTGCGGAAGAAGATGAGAAAAAACATCATTGATTATTGTTCATTTCTAGCGATAATGTAAAAAAGGTCAATGAGAAAAAATAAATCTTAAGAAAAAAGAAAAAAAGTTAACATAATACAACTAAAGTTATAAGATGTTATCGCATTTGAGATTAACGTCTCGGTGCGTCACCTCAGAAAAGCAACCATCATCTGATTAAATCAACCGTAATATGTAGTAGTTAATTCATATTATGAGAGATTATATCAAGTTCAAATTTTATCGAATGAGTGTGAACGCGTGATATCAAGACCCGCGATGAAGTTTAACCATGATCCTAAGTCAACTGGCACCATTTTTTTTTTTTTATCATTTTTGTCCCATAATGCTATCACTTTAAAAATGCTAACACATAATCGATGTTTTTGCATGAAAGGCTGATTTGGCTGAATCTATTATTAGGAACCTTTAATAGACTATTGATATTAATGATCTTTATAATGATCCATGTTATATATGAAAAAGAAATTCGTTAAAAAAAATTATTTAACGATAAGAGTGTTTTTTTTTCTAGTTATTTTCCTCTTTTAAAAATTTTTAATTTTTTTATTTTTTGCATTTAGTGCAAAAGCTGCAAATATTAAAAATACATCTTGTTGAGGCGTGTATCACGTGAAACATGTATGAGCAATTAAGTGTGATACAATACCATTTGATTATGCGAGATCCTTTTTTGACATTCAATGTTCTAAATCGAATGATATAAATATCGTCGTCAATTGCAATATTCATAATTTTATCCATTCAACAAAAACTTTGTCACCTGTATCTTGCTGACCATAATCCTCTCGAATCAGGTCAACAGTTTCTGGTTCATTTATTTGTGCAAACATATTTTCTTTAGAAAGTTATAATATTGCAAAAAGACTGATAAATCTTCGAACCTTATACACTTGGGATTTCTAATCAAGAACAATGTTAAGCGATATAGGCGAGTTATAGATCTGAGTCTAATTTCCGGAAACTTTTGCACGTTTTGAATAAACAGTATACTCTTTAATAGATAATGACGGTTCCGAGATGGGTTACTCGACACCTTCAAATGAGGAAGATTCATTATCTTCAGCCGAACTTGCAGAACCACAAGCCACTGAACATAGCTCATCTCTTGGTACTGAATCGTCACATCGTCAACAAATGATGAAACATGATCCTATTCTTTCACCAGCTGGACAATTTGTCACACCACCAGAACAGTATGAAGAAATTCCTTTTCATAGATACAGCGAAGAAAGTAATCCTTATTTCTTGGATGATTTAGATGAGCTAACAAGCAAAAAACAGATTTCAGAATTACAGAAAACACTGGAGAAAATGCAAGCATCAATTCCACTTCGCCGTGTCAATGAAATTGAAAAGGCACTTGAAAGATTACAGGCCGAGGTTTCTGCTTCACATGAGAGAATAGAAGGTTTAAAGAGAGAAATGATAGAGCGTGAGAAGAAGAGACGAAAAAGAAGTTGGAGTTGGCTGTTTTGGGTTGGTAGATGATCCCTTCATTCATTCATCTTTTTTTTTGTTCTTCTTCTAACTAATTGACTTTTTTTTCTCTTTTTTTACGTAGTTCATTACAAAACACGCAGCTATAAATTGTTTTTTTATGTTTATTTTATTTCTAACGATCTCGATCAAAAGAGGAAGATTAGTTCGGCAGTTAGCAAAGAGAGCGGTTACCGATTTTAAGAGTGCGTAAGGCTTGTATTTTATAACTTTTACTATATAGCATATTATATCGTGTCAATGATTGGAGATGTTGATGCCCGTTGACTCATAAAACCCAAATATTTTCGGATGAGGTGAATTACAAATTATGAAAAATATGGATTATGTTCACTATGTGGAACGAAATAAGAATAAACCATATTGATCCGCATCATGGGCTTTGTTTGTTATCTTGATCCAATTTGAAAATATTAGCCTAAAATATGCATCCGGAACACAGAACCATACCTGATTTATCGGGTCAATATTCAAATCCTTATCTTTTAGAGGCATCATCAATGTAATTTTCCGGAATTTTTAATTTTTTAATACATGAAGCATACGTCTAAAGCATATCATTCCTTTATTGGACAGCAAGTTCAAAGATCTTTCTATAAATACGTTATCTTGAGAATGCACTTCCTTCGTTAGTTTTGACCCATTAACTAAATGACAAAATATTGCTATCAAGATGTAGAATCAGTAGATGCAGTACATGCATATATGGATCTATTTAAAAAATTGAAATTGAAATATTAGCTTAATATGTTTATATTTATTATCTATTATTTTATTTAATATTAATGTTTCCATTTACTTTAATTTAATTATCAATAATCTTTTTATACAAAAAATTTTAAATATCTTTGTAAATAATTTAATATTAAAATTTTGATATTTTCTATAGTAAATAAAATCTTTATGATTTTTGATTGATTAATAAAATTTATATCAAAAAAAATTTTTTGTTATTATGTTATTACAAGATAGTTGAAAATTAAAATTAACTTGTTTATTAAAAAGAATCTAATTAATATTTAATATAAATTTTAGTAATACGATATATATATTTGAATTGTTATATTTAAATTGTTTTTTTTTTTTATATAATCAAATAAATATTTGTAAAGTTTATTTAATTTTAATACAGAATATATAATGGTTTAACTATCTTTATGCACAAACTTTTTTTTAAATATAATAATTAAATATTTATTTTAGATAAAATTATCTCTAGACATGATTTTAAAAATGAATGAAATTGCTTATTCTAATATACTTGCTTTGAGATATATTTTGAAATTATTGCTTGCAATTTTATCACTACAATTTGTTTTATTAAAATCTTGATTACATTTTATAATTATATATATATATATATATATTTGATCTTGTTTCAAAAGATTTTTTGGGTTTTTTGAGTTTTTTTATAAGTATTTTTTCTTTATTCTTATTATCTAATAAATTATTTTAATTGAATTTTCTTTTATTAAAACTTAAAAGTAGTAATATATTTTTTAAGCATTTTTTTTTTTTATAGTTTGTTGATTTTGTTTCTTTTAAAAAATCTAAGCAATTTTAACAGTATATATATTTTTATTTATTATTTTTTTTTTTTATTAATCTATATTTTAAAAGTTATTTATACTTTTAAATTTTTTTATTTTGAGATTTTATATATATTGTCATAAGAGTTTACATTATATTTTAAATATATTAATCTATAAATCTTTAAATAATTTAATAATTTAATTTTATATAAATTAATTAAATAAAAAATATGGGTAATTATTTTCGAAGGCGGACCGGAAATTTTCTGATGGGATCCTGAAATTTATACTATATATGTATTGTCTAAAAGTTGGGTCCGAAAAAATCTTATCTAGCATTTTTGATGCCTTCAATAATAATTACTCATATACATTCTTATTTTTTTATTTTTTACTTTTTTTAATATAAAAATATTAAATATATATATTTATTTTAAGTTATTTATATTCAATACATATATATTTTTAAGTTTATTTAAATTAATCTACTTTTTTATCTATAAACTTGTCTTATATATTAATTTATTATTTAAAAAAATAAGCCTGTATACTGAATAGAATTTTTAAAAGATAAAAATTCTATTATTAATTTTATAAAAGAAGTATTATTACTATATTTTAAAAATATTTTTTAGAATACTCAAATATTTTAAATATTTTGAAAAATTATAAAAAAGATCTTCTTTTTTTAAATAAGCATCAGATTGAAATAGTTACAAACTAAAATATTCTTTATATTATAAAATTTATTATATCAAAAAAAAAATATGAGCTTATTATAAAAATTAAATTAAAAGTCTTTTTTTATATAATATTTTTTATTTTAACTTGTTTTTAGTTTATAATTATTAAAAAATTAAAAGTCTTATTTTTGTTTAATTTAACTAAATTTAATTGTAGTTAAGAATTATTGAATATAATATATATAAAATATTTAATAAATTTATAAATTAAAAATAATTTGTTTTTATTTTTTATAGATATTAAACTAAAAACATATGTATATTTGAAGGCTTGAAAGTACTATTCATTATATTATTTATTTACAATTTATATTTTTTTTATTTTTAATTAAATTATATATTATAATAATTTTTTGATTTTTTTAAAAAATATAATATTATAATAATATTATTAAATATAATATAGTAAATTAGTTACTTTGATCTGGTTTATATTATATAATAACAAATAAATAATAAATTGTTTTATTGCAATTAAAATTTCTAATAATACTATTTTTAAAATCATTTTAATATCAATTCAATATTTAAATTTATTATAAATCCATATGAATAAGTCATAACTCATATATTAAATTTATATAAACTTATATTATATTATTTTATTTATATATAACAAGATATATATTATAAAAAAAATAATATCTTTTGAATGTATTATATATAACAAGTTAAATATTAGTTTGTTTATTTTAACAATATTTAATTAATATTAAAAAAAATTTCAAAAACAATATTAATATATTAGATAAAGAAATAGTAACTATACATATTTATTTAAAAAAATTTATAAAATCTTTTTTATAAATTTGAAAATATAATATAAAAGAATAAATGATAAATAAAAATATATATAATAATAAAATAATTAGGGCTAAAACTAAATCAAGTAAATAATAAAATTTGTAACAATAAAGATCATATTTCTAGAAAAGCTCTTTGTTTAATTTTGAGAAAGACTAAAATCTACCAAGTTTTTCAATTGTTGACATATATTTTTGATGACAAAGAAATTATAATATAATAGATATTATTTAATGTTATTGATGTTATTATTGTTATATTAAAAAACTAGTTTGAAAAGATTTGGTTTTTGTTTTGATATTTTGATAAATCTAATTAGATAATTAAAAAATAATTATTATTTAAAAAAAATAAACTGATTTCATTTTTTTGAATAAAAATTTTTAAGAAAAATGAAATTATAAATATATTAATTAAGGATAATAGAAATTGATTTTTTATTTGTAAATTAATCTTTTGTTTAATATTAAATATAATTTCTTTATATGAAATATCTTGTTTAATTTGTATTAATAATCAATATGATTTTCTTGATATTTTAATAGTAATTCAATTAATTGTATCAAATAATTGCATTAATTATATTAAGAATTTAGGAGTTTTTATCACATATATAATTTTAAATAATAAATTGATATTGGATCAAAATCCGTTTGATTCGTATCCGAGTGGTAGTTTTTAGAAGGAATTAGAGATTATATAGAACAGTCCGTCGTTCCAGAGATAATCTCTCACA